CAAATCCGAGGGATCCTGTGCCACGTCGCGGCCTCACACCTGGCCAAACACACAGGACTGGCCGGACGCCGACGCTGGAGGGACCATCAAAGGATGCTTCTTCCTCACGGCGTGGTGCCGATAAGAGGCGCCCATAGAGAGAGGTGTCCGGTTGTGCGGCCGTGGCCCTGTGGGGAGGTCCTGCTTTCCAACCTTGCCACCGAGTGTTCGCGCCAGTCAATGGCATGTACTGTCGGGGCCTTGACCTAAGGAACCCTAAATAAGGAACGAGGCCCCTTTTTTCCACAAGTTAGACTTCGATTTCCCATCGAGAACCTGAGGAAAGCCTGAGGCAAGCTGTGGAACACTTAAGGAACGCGGAGCCCCTCCCCAACGAAAAGGGTTCCTTCTTCAGGGCCCCGGCTGTATGGCGACCTGGATTCTCCGATGGTACCTGCAGGAAGACATGGAGCTGGCCCGAGAGCGCCAGAGCAGGATGGGGGTTCGCATAACTCGGTGAGCGGTGCGTTCGTGCGGTGGTCTTTGGGGCACTTCCAGGACCAGCGCAAACATCTCCGAAAGCTGAAGTGTTCGCCATCCTGCAAAGTATAACTGCTTGCATCCCCCCATCGCCATGGTTACTGATTACAAAGGGGTGTTAGATGGTTTCGGGAAGGGCCGAAGGTGGTGCACGGCGCCACGCAGGAACTATGTGGATGTGTGGGAGGCTACCTGGGACAAAGTTCGGAAACCTGAGGCCTCCAGCAAAGCGTTTTTGCTGAGCACTTCCGCGGGCATCAGAAGGGACCTGGTGAGCTTGCGCGTGGCAACAGGCGGGCCGACGTCGCGGCCACCCGAGGTCGGGACCTTCATGGAGTCAGCAAGGAGGCTCGGACTGCCATGAGCGTTGCTCACAAGAGCCTCCTTGCGTGCCTCGAGCGGATGGTCCAGGCCTTTTCGTGCCCGGGGGAGGCTGGGAGGACCCCCACCCGATCGCGAGCTCTTCGCTCGGACCGCCCAGCCCCCGGAGCCGAGGCTGCAGAGCCCTCGGTCCGTCCTCGGCACGTGGTGTGCCCTGTGCCCAGGATTAAGTCGGGCATGTCCTCCTACAGGGGCATTTTCGACGAGAAAAAAAAAATGCCCCAAAAATTGTCAAAAATGGTCGAAACATAGTCTGGGGACTATTTGTTGATTATTTGTGTTACCTTTGGGGGGGGCAATTTGGGGGTATTTACCTAACAGCGAAGACTGATAGGTTTCTAATGGGGTCAAAAGAGAGCATCTGATGACTCCCCAGGGGGGTCTGGGCGGGAGCCGGACAGGCGAGGGCCGGGCTCGTTTTAAGCAAACAATCACACACTTCGTGCTCTTCCACCTCCCAGAACTCCATTCCCGGGCCACATTTTGAATGCCCGGAGCCAACTGTAGGCCACTTCGTGCTCTTCGACTTCCCAGAACTCCATTGCCGGGCCACATTTTGGATGCCCGGAGCCAACTGTAAGCCACTTCGTGCTCTTCGAGTTCCCAGAACTCCATTCCCGGGCCACATTTTGAATGCCCGGAGCCAACTGTAGGCCACTTCGTGCTCTTCGAGTTCCCAAAACTCCATCCCGGGCCACATTCTGAATGCCCGGAGCCAACTGTAGGCTACTTCGTGGTCTTCGAGTTCCCAGAACTCCATTCCTGGGCCACATTTTGAATGCCCGGAGCCAACTGTAGGCCACTTCGTACTCTTCGAGTTCCCAAAACTCCATTCCTGGGCATGATTTTGAATTCCCGGAGCCAACTGTAGGCCACTTCGTGGTCTTCGAGTTCCCAGAACTCCATTCCTGGGCATGATTTTGAATGCCCGGAGCCAACTGCAGGCCACTTCGTGTTCTTCGAGTTCCCAGAACTCCATTCCCGGGCCACATTTTGAATGCTGAGGCAGGCTGAGGCTGAGGCTGAGGCAGGCTGAGGCTGAGGCAGGCTGAGGCTGAGGCCGAGGCTGAAGGCAGACTGAGGCTCAGGCTGAAGCAGGCTGAGGCTGAGGCTGAGGCTGAAGCAGGCTGAGGCTGAGGCAGGCTGAGGCTGAGGCTCAGGCTGATGCAGGAGCTGAGGCTGAGGCAGGCTGAGGCTGAGGCAGGCTGAGGCTGAGGCTGAGGCTGAGGCTGAGGCTGAGGCAGGCTGAGGCTGAGGCTGAGGCTGAGGCTGAGGCAGGCTGAGGCTGAGGCTGAGGCAGGCTGAGGCTGAGGCTGAGGCTGAGGCTGAGGCTGAGGCTGATGCAGGCTGAGGCTGAGGCAGGCTGAGGCTGAGGCCGAGGCTGAAGGCAGACTGAGGCCGAGGCTGAAGCAGGCTGAGGCTGAGGCTGAGGCAGGCTGAGGCTGAGGCTGAGGCAGGCTGAGGCTGAGGCTGTGACTGCGGCTGAGGCTGAGGCTGATGCAGGCTGAGGCTGAGGCAGGCTGAGGCTGAGGCCGAGGCTGAAGGCAGACTGAGGCTGAGGCTGAAGCAGGCTGAGGCTGAGGCTGAGGCAGGCTGAGGCTGAGGCTGAGGCAGGACGAGGCTGAGGCTGTGACTGCGACTGCCGTTGCCACTGCGACTTTCATCGCGAATGCGACTGCGACTGCGAGAACAACAGAATTCTACAACTGGATTCTCATGTGAATATTAAGGGGAATGCTTCCAGATATGCTCCTACACATCGCTGTTAGGTTGCTTTGCCGGGATAATTTTTATGTTTCGTCGAAAATCCCCAAGTAGGGGGACACGCCCGACACAAGCCTAGGAGGATGATCTTTCGCTCCCAGTGCTGCAGGGTCGACGCCAAGACCACCGCCCGGGTTGCACGTCTCTCCCCCTCCGCTGCTGCCCTGCTCGCCCGCGGGCGTCGGACAGCCTGCCTGCGCTCGTGCCCGTGCAGCCTCCTGGGCCGGCAGGGGGGCGGCCTCGCTCCGGGGGCTCCGCCAGGCACCGCCTCCACAGGCGCCCTGCCCAGGGCAGCCGGAGGCGATGGCCCCTCTCGGTCGAGGGCGCACTGCCCGCGGCTGCTCCCGGCGAGGAGGGCGCGGGCGGTGGTGGCGGCGGGGGCTCCACTGGGATGGCGGCTGGACTGGCCGGGAGAGGCAGCGGCAGCCTCCGTGCTGCTCTCCTCCCCCCTCCTGTCGCCCGGCGTCTCGGATCGCGCTCGCTCCACCGCTCGGCCTCGTCGTGGCTCGGAGAGTGTCGTCTCCTGGGGTTGTCGACACGCTTTTGGCGCGTCGTGGCCTCCTCGTTTGGAGTGGGCTGTTGTTGACGGGAGATTTCTTCCCTAGCAGCGAATCGTCGAGCGTTGGATGCCATAAGGTGGTCGTAACGTGCGCCCTGGGGTCCGTTTCGACCCCGTGGACCTCGTCGGGGCTCCCGCCCAGGATGCCCTGAGCAGATCTGTGGCCTCCGTCGCGACCCCCGATCGCGAAGGTCCGGCACTCGGGCCCGAGAGGCGCCGGCGCATCCGGGGGCAGAAGTGCTGACCATAGACCTGCCCCCGGAGCCAGCACGGCGCCTGCCTGTGCCACCCCCTCGGACGGGACCCGTGCCCGCGGAGGCCGCCAGGGGCCATCGGAGGAGGAGGAGGAGGAGGCGGAGGAGGAGGAGGCGGAGGAGGCGGAGGAGGCGGAGGAGGCGGAGGAGGAGGAGGAGGAGGAGGAGGAGGGTGGCCCCGTCTCAGGCTGACCTGTGCGCGTCTTGCGGATGCGTTTCCACCGGCACGGCCGGTCACCTTTCAGTTGATTGCCCTTCGGGCAGTGCGGGACATGACCTTTCGGAAAGGGCCCAGCGGAGCCGTAAACAGTTGTTGGTGGGATACCACCCCGCGGATGAGGGGCGGTCGGATTCGCGTCGAATCCCAGCCCCGCGTCCTCTCCTGACCTCTGACCCAGAGACTCGCTGGGGCAGGCTCTTGCAGGGCCACACTTCTGGGGAGGGAGCGACGAGCAGCGCAACAGAGGAGCACCTCCACTGAGTGCTCCCTGCGGCCTGCTCTCACTCCTCGTCTGCGCCTCCCTCCCCCCACTTGTTCCCTCTTTTCATGTCTGGCTGCGCCCTGCCCCGCTATCCTCCGGGTGGGGGCTGGGCGGCTGTACAGGCATAGGGTTGCCACCGGTGGCTGCCCACTCTCATCGAGCGCGCCAGGCGCCCACTTGGAGCGCGGCGTCCGCCAGGCAGTGCGGTATCCTCCTCCTCCTCCTCCTCCTCCTCCTCCTCCTCCTCCTCCTCCTCCTCCTCCTCCTCCTTCTCCTCCTCCTCCTCCTCCTCCTCCTCCTTCTCCTTCTCCTCCTCCTCCTCCACGGTCCTCCCCCTCCACCCCCTCCTCCTGTGTTCTCTGCTCATCCCTCCTCATCCTCACTCCTCGTGATCGTCCTCGTCCGTGTCCTCGTCCCACTGCGGCTGCTCATCCTCCGCGCACGCAGGTTCAATCGACATGATCTGCCCACCGTACTGGTGCACCTAGGCCGTAGAGGACCTTGGAGAGCGGACAAGCCACTCTGCAGCCTCTGGCCAAAGGAAGGAGCAAGAGGAGAAACGTGCGACGGTGAAGAAGCCCAACACGCTTCCCCACTTTCGAATGGGAACTCAGACACGGAGATCACATTGCAGCAAAGCAGAACTGACCTAGGAGGGTGGAGTCGCCCCCCACCCCACCCGAGTAGGAGCAGTGGAGGGGGCAAGATAAGGAAAATGAGGACGAGGTGGGCGGAGATGCATAGCACCACAGCCACGTAGATGTCGGGTACGTCGCGGTACCCTTCACCACCGTTGTCCTTTGTGCGTGTTACCCTACACCTACACCGCACAGCATCTCTAATGCCAGCTCCATTCAAGTAGCAAGCGCGATGCTGATCCCTCGCCATCGCCGATCGTCACCACTTGCACATGCGTTTGCCGTGGAACCCCCAGTGGCCTTGAAGGAAAAGCCAAAGGACGCACGGAAACGTCCGAATCTCCCAAACGACCCCCCTCCCCCCTCCTCGCCCTCGCATCCCGCCCGCGGCAGCAGCAGCCGCCTGCTTCTCCAGGATCGCCACTCTGGCCTGGTGTTGGCGCCGCTCCGCCTGCAGCAGCACTCAAAGAGCGCGCCCCGGAGGAGGAGGAGGAGGAGGAGGAGGAGGAGGAGGAGGAGGAGGACTTTTCTCGGGCCCCCAGGCGGAACGCAACGAAAACGGACCTCAGAGCTCCTGGTGGCCAGCAGCCGCCGCCTCCTCGCGCGCGCGGACCCAGGCAAGGAGCGGGCGTGAGAGAGAGGAGGCCGAGGAAGGCGGGGGGGGCGCACCGCCTCGCGGAGCGGGACCCCGGCCGCGGCACGACCTGCGGCGCCACCTCTGACGGAGGCGAACCCCCGCTTCACCTCCCCGGTGGGGGCAGCGCCCCTTCGACGTGCAAGGGTCGTCGAGGAGGAGGAGGAGGAGGAGGAGGAGGAGGAGGAGGAGGAGGAGGAGGAGGAGGAGAGGGAGGAGGAGGAGGAGGAGGAGGAGGAGGAGGAGGAGGAGAAGGAGGAGGAGGAGGAGAGGACGAGGTGGCAGGGGGATCGAAGAGGCCGAGGAGGGCGCGCGGAGTCCGCCGCGCCGCCCCGCGCACGGCGCCCTCCCCCAAGGGACGCCCGCGGCTGGCGGGCCCTGGCGCGCGGCGAGAAGGCCTGCCACTCGATCCTGGGCTGCCTAATCGCGCATTGCCGAGCTTGAACCACCGCTTGCCCGTGCAGACGCCACGCCAGGAGCAGAACAGGAGAGGCACGCAGTCAGCTTTCTGCAGCACAGGGGGTCGCAACGTTCACTCTCCGCACCAGGCAGGCGCCTGAGGGCACTGGCGAGGCCCTTGCACTGGAGAGTAGGGCGCGCACCACCATAAGCAACCTCAAGACATCAGGCGCACTTGGAAACCTTTTTCAGCCGAAGGCTCGTACGACTGTAGGATGGCCCAATCGTGTCACTGGTGGGCTCGCAGGGTCTTTGGACGCGGTCCTTTGGGCATCCAAACAACATCTCGCTTCGGAAGAAAAAACAAATGGACAGCGGCAAACATCGAACCCAACTTGCGCACAGCGCACACAGTCCCGCCAAGCTCTTCAAGCTCCGACGCGGCCACTGCGGGGCGCAAGGATCACGCATGCTGCGCAAGGCGGTCAGCACCCTGCTGGGACGGACGCTATGTCGTCGTCAGACCTGCGCGCAGGCGCGTGAGAAGCAGACCTCAGGGCGGCGGCATTTTTCTCGGCAGGGGCGCACCTCTGCAGGTCAGCAAACACTTGGCGGGGGTCCAGCTGCGCACTCGGGCGCTCGCTGCACAGGCGGACGGTTTCCAACCAGCCCATGTGCACCTGACAGGGTCCAGTCGCGAGGCAGCTCAGAGCGACCAGTCCCAAGTGCTCTCCCGATTGGGGCGTCTGGGGAAGGCCGGGCCAGACGGCGCCTATGATCCTGACCCTAACTTCATACTGCTCGCCAGGTGCTAGGAACACACTTGCACGCGAGCTACGATTCATCTCGCGACAAGCCGGCCGGGTCGCCGAGCCGTCGACCACGACATCCGAGACTGCGGCTCGGGCGCAGAAATCCCAAACCTCAAGCGGTTCGCCCTCGGGGCCATGGAGGACGGGGTCGAGCCTCAGACCCGGGGGCGGCGGGGTTGGTTGAGACACGAGCAGCCTAGACCAGAAAGGCACACCTGCCGCGCCAGCGGACCGAGCATCGCCAATCATCTCGTCGCTGACGCGCGCGCTGCGGGGCTCGCGCGCCTCGGGCGCATCGCAGAGCCGCTGCCCGTGGGCGCGGAAAACAAACGTTCCACGCCACAAACGACACAACCCATCGCGAACGCAACCCGACTCTCTCAGCCGACTCCCCGCCCAGGCACCTCCAGAAAGTAGGCGCAGAACCAGCGCCCCCCACAACCCGAGACCTTCTCCGGATGCACACGCCCTCGCGGAAGGTCGGGGGCCACGCGAGCGGCCGCAAATTCAACGAGGGGCATGGCAAGGCAGCGCCGCTGAGACCTCTGAACCCCATTCCTGCAACACGGCGTCGATCATCGCTGAGGAGGCGTAGAGCAAGTCGACGACATGCCCCGTCTTGTCCTTTCAAACAGTGAAACCATCCGTCCTCCATGCAACCCTCGGAAGACTAAGAAGCCTTACGTGTAGGGCTCCCCGAGAGCACCTCCAGCCAGAACTACCCAAGTCCATGGGAAGGGCTGCGATATCACTCCATACCCTGACATGCTCACGAAACGAGATCGGGCTGGACTCGGGGCGCGCAGTCGCCCCCTATAGGCTCGTAGCACATTGGTGAGCAGGCGCAACAGACTGCTTCCGAGATGGATTCGCGTCAAGCACTCGCTCCGCCGTGAGAGATGCCCACTTGCGCGCAGGGATCACCCTTGCGAGCAAGGTGCATTGCAGGGCGCGCACATCAGAGTCTGCCAAACCTAAAACCACATTGCCATATCAAGCAGCGGGGCGCACACGAAATATAATAACAATTACAAGACCGAATTTGGTCGCGCCGACGCTGGCGACGGAGGCGCGAAAGCAACGCACGTCGACGTCGCATCGCGTTGAAGCGCTCCTTTAGCTTAGCCCGTCCGCTCTTGCATTCCATCCGTCGGCCCGGCGCCAGATCGAACCCCGGGGGCGCCGACGACTTGGCCGCCGCAAACGGACGCGGAACGCGGAGCCTGCGGGAAATCATTGTCGCTCAGCGCTGCGACGATGCGAAGCCGACGGCCTCTTCTTCGGCCAGCTCAACATTAAGACGGCTGCCGAAAACGTGCCCGAGGTCGACTGCCGCCCCGGCGCGAGCCGCGACAATCTCATTCTGCCCCCCACAGGCCACAGACGCGCCATCGTCTACGCAGGAGCCCAGGAAGGCCGGCGGGTGACTGAGAGCGACTGCGCCGAACACAAACATGACACGCAACTTGACAAACACGCCATGCAGCACGCCCCCCGCGGGCAGCCGCAAACGAAGATGGGCTGGACGATGGGGAACGGTGGGATCCCGAGCGCAGGATGCGCGGGTTTCAACAGATGTCAGACGAACAGCACCTCGACGAGCACCGCAGCGATCCCCCATAGGCGGCCGTGCCCCTGCGCCAGATCAACGCCAAGGATTCGTCGCACACGCCGTTCATTTCTATCCGCGCCCAGTTCGAACTGCGCTCGTGTCTCATTGCCCCTGGCCCCCCAGCGACCAGGAAGAAGCCCAGGATAGAACAAGTAGACATGAAAAGATCTCGGCCCCTTAAAAAATCCAAGAACTTTCGAAGAATTAGAAATGACAGTGCGCACCTCACCCCGTGCTGAATGAGGCCTGCCGTCGCCCGGGTCACCGCGGGCAGCCCGCTCCGCCCCCGAAGACTCCGATGCCGCGCGGCTCCCTCGGAGCTCTGCCCGCGCGCAGAGGGCCATGAAAGCCTACGGCCCCGTCCCGGGCGCCGCCAGCTCGGCCTCGTCGAAGCCGCCCCGGAACGCGAGCTGGGGGGCCAGGAGATGGACGGGCGCCAGGCCGCCCTCGGGCCCCTGCCAGGAGCGGCATCAGCTTCCACGGCGCCTGCGCAGGGATAAAGACAGGTCGCTCGATCGACGCGCAGAGAACGGCCCGGAAGCCCGAGGTCCGGCGGAGCGGCGCGCGCAAAACACTCTCGATTCGGAAGCCAGGCCAGTAGAGGCTTTGGCCCTGAACTCAAGAAACCCCAACTCCCCTATCTCTGAGCTCCACCTTGCCCAAATTCTTGAACTCCAACTTCCAGGGCGATCTCCAGCTCCCGGAGAGAAAGCACCCAGGGAACGCTGAGCCACCGGGGGGGCCCACGGGCCCCGGAGCCCAGTAACCTCACCCGCGAGCCGCGCGGAGCCAGCCAGGGCGGCCTGCCGCCAGGCACCCCGCGTCGAAATAGGCCCTGGCGGCCAGCGCGCCTGCCTGCCGCCGTCTCCCGCGCGCCGCTGGGAGACGCATCCTGTCTGGGGCTCAGCCCCCCCCCCCCCCCCCCCCCTGGCAGGGACGTTGCTGGGGCGCGAGAGGCTGCTGGCCCGCGAGCGCGTCAATGCCGGCCGCGCTGGCGACCGCAGATATCAGCGCATTGAACGCGCGGTGGAGCCACTTCCAGCCACTGGGGATCTGGAGCCAATCAGCATGATTCGTGGAGCGGTAGAACACAGCGCCCGGGACGCTTTCTCCATGCGCCCCTCTCCCCGAACCCCTCAGACTCGACCTGGCTCTATGCGCGCAGAGCCCAACCTCAGCAACATCGACAAAGTTACCCAAAGCCTCGCTGGGGGCATGCCAAACAAAACTTCCCATGGCAGACCCCGCGCGCGCGACAGCTGGCGCGGCGAGAGCAAGGGCGGCGCGCCACAGAACAGGAGAGACCGACTGATGTCCAAGAGGAGGGCGGGTGGGCCATCGCTGGTGGGCCCTGTTGACTAGCTGCTGGATCTGCAGGGCGCCAGTTCGAAACCCGAGCCGGACGGGGCGACGCGGTCTGACTCCCCACACGAAGCCGACACGAACATCAGCGATCAAGCGAGCGATGCCTGGCCCCAGGACGACGCAGTCGATGATGCGCTTCGACGACGGGGCCGAGCACGCGCAAGTGATCGGGAACACAACGAGCACCCCCATCTTCTTTGGAAACCAACTCCTTCCAAAACTTCGGGCCCAAACTCCCAACTGCCGCGCGTGGAAGCATGGGTCGGGTCCGGAACGAAGCACCCCAGTAAACATAATATGTGCAGGCTGGTCTCGCTGAGGCCCTCCAAGCTGCTCCGAGACGCCAACCTCCTGGGCGCACAGCACCATGGCGCCCGTCGCGGCGAGTCGTCTGCGGAGCGACTCTCTCGAAGAACCATTGAACGTTTCGATGAAGTGCACGCGTCGCTGGTCACAGCAGAGCTGGGGGCGCCACGAAGGGGAGGTACACGACAGACCTTTGAAGACAGGGGCAGGCCAGATACCAGCGGTGGTGCACGCCATGAGCACTACCATCTCGGCTTGAGGTTGTGGTGGTTGACGCCCAGCGTTTCCCTCGTCGCCGGCCGCGCCAGCTGGAGCAGGGGGCGGTGGAAGGCTAGCGAGCAACAGCTTGAAGTTCTTGAATTCAACGGAAGCCTCGGACTGGACGAGGGAGACAAGTCAGCGCGTTCATCGCCAAACCCTCAGCAGCAATGTCGGGCATGCTGAAGGCCGAGGGCGCGGCAGGCGCAACCTGCTGCATGGTGGTGCTCAACTCGACTTGCATGGCCTGGATAAACAAATTCGCTGCCTGTATTTTCTCCTGGGTGGCCACCAGCGCCTCCTAAGCATCCTTGGCGGCCTTGGTGCGCTCCACGACCTCCTCCTCGAGCTTGGTGAGCTTCTGCTGCTCACGAGCAAGTTGATGACCAAGAACAATCTGACGAGTGAGGGCAGGATTGGGCTCCTTGATCTTCCTGCGCGCCGACGCGAACTTATCTTCTACACCTTGCTGCAACGCCGACGCCGGGTCCGCTGTCCTGACAGCCACGAGTGTTTCCTCCCTCCAAAGGCCGTGTCTGGAGCTCGGTAACCTCGCCATCATCTGGTGTATCTTATGTTGGCTGGCGCTCCTGTTGCCTCTCATGTGGCCATTGCCTGCACGCCGACTGCGCTGGCTCGACTGATGAAACTGGCAGTTGGGTTGGTCAAGCTCTTCTCGACGGCAAGGAGCTGCTTCGCCAGCTTGCTCTGGCTGGGTGCGCCGCCTCCTGCTCCACACTAAGGCGAACCGGTGGACAAGGCGCGGGACCTTCCAACTTGACAGCCTGCTGCCTCGCTTTGCGGACGATCTCCGAGGGCGCCTGCTTCCCGCACGCGCAGCGGATCTTGCACGCCCAATTCTGGTTGCGCCCACAGCGTGGGCATCCCCAGGTGGGCTGCCGCGGTCCACAGATCTAATACTTCTGAATCATATCCTGCCATTGGCCGCTGCAGCCGCGAGCGAGGGACGTCTTGCTCCTGCAGGAGCGCATACAAAGAAAGCTCGAGCCAACTGATTCGCAACAGCTACTGCCGCTCTGAAGAAAGCGGCTGCAAGCCGAAATATTGGGTCAGAACGGCTGGAGGAAGAGGCGGAGGAGGAGAAGGAGGAGGAGGAGCACACATCGAGTGGTCCAATTGGGCCCCATGCGCGAGCGTGTCGAGGAACGCACAAACTTCGACAACAGAACTTGGAGCGCAATGCCCGAGCGTCGAGGCACACCTTGCGATTCAGGAAAACCTGCGCAACTGTGATGAGGTGGGATGGGGGCTCAACAAGAAATCAGGCGCGAGGGTTCAAGGACTGGTCGCAACGAACAGCGGGAAAGGCCTCCAGGGCGAGGACAGTGTGGACCAGAATGGCAAGATCGAGAGGCCATGGGTTACGAGAGCGAGGAAAGCGTACGAGGGGCCCTCCTCCTCCTCCTCCTCCTCCTCCTCCTCCTCCTCCTCCTCCTCCTCCTCCTCCTCCTCCTCCTCCGTCTCCTCCTCCTCTTCATCATCATTATCATTATTATCCTCCTGATCATCAAGATCATCATCATCGTGATCATCATGACAATCAGCATCACAATCATCATCACCACCACCACCATCAGCATCGCCGTCACCATCACCACCATCGTCACCATCACCATCACTATCGCCGTCACCATCGTCATAAGCAGCAGCCTCATCGAAATGTGCATCACAACGATGCTCATCATCAGCAGTAGCATTACAGTAGCATCATCAACAACAGCATCAGCTTCATCATCAGCAGCATTCTTATCATCATCCTCATCAGCAACATCATCAACATCATCATTATCGACGTCGTCGTTACCAGCATCATCAGCATAATCATCATCAACAGCAGCATCATCGTCATCATCATCAGCATCATCAGCATCGTCATCAGCATCATCATCATCATCATCATCATCATCATTAGCATCGTCATCATAATCAGTATCCTCAGTAGCATCCTCATCTTCATTATCATTTGCATCCTTATCCTCATCCTCCTCATTATCCTAAATCCTCTTCATCCTCCTCCGAGCGTTCGCCTCATAATTTTCCTCGTTCTCCTCCTCCTCCTCATTCTCATCCTCCTCCTCCTGAGCCTCCTCTCCTCCCCGCTTCCTCCCGCCGCTGTTCCTCTTTGCTCCCTCTAGCAGCGGCACCTCCATGGCGTTGCACGACCTGCGTCGCTCAATCAGCAGCTCGCCGCGAAGCGTCGCAACCTGCCAGAGTATCGGGGGCAGCACGTTCCACGTGGCCCCCGAGGAAGAGCGGCAAAACAAGGGGATCGGACCGGACTCGTGAACTTGAGAGCTAAAGCGAAGCCGTCACGATTCCTGATATGAGACCACCGTGCGATAACTCCGAGGGGCGAGCAGACGAGAAGGGGGGGCGGGAGCAGGAGGAGGAGGCCGAGGAGCACCTCCCCCCCAACGCCGCATGCATCAGTTGTCTCCCCATGGGCCTTGGAAAACCGAGGTGATCAAGCACGTGAGGCCCATGATTAAGCGTGCTCTCGCGTATGAAATCGGGCCTCATATGTTTCTGTCTCTCCCCCTCTCCTCCGCACCTCCCCCTGCTCCTCCTGCTCCTCCTCCGCCTGCTGCTGCTCCTCCTCCTCCACCTCCTCCTCCTCTCCATGGCCCCTTTGAGATCGCCACTTCCCCAACCAAAGCGCACAATCTCAAGCAGCATTCCCATCACCATCTTCGTCACCATCAACATTGTCAGCCTCACCATGATCACCATCATCATCGTCATCATCAGCAGCATCATCATCTGCATTATCATCATTCTCGTCGTCGTCATCGTGATCGTCATCGTCATCGTCATCGTCATCGTGACCCTTGTCGTAGTCGCCACTACCATCATCGGCGTCGCCAGCGATATCATCAACATCATGGTGGTGTGCATGCTTTGGATCAGAAGCCATCATCATCATCAGCATCATCATAAGCAGCAGCAGCATCACCTTCATCAGCAGCATCATGATCAACATCCTCAATAGCAGCAGCATCAGTATTAGCATCGTCCTCATCGTCCTCATCAGCATAATCACAACCATCATCATCATCATCATCATCAGCATCTTCAGTTTCATATTCATCCTCATCGACTTCAGACTAATCTTCATCGCCATCATCACCATCACCCTCATCTTCAGCAACAGCATAACCATCAGCATCATCTGCATCATCAGCATCAGTATCGTCCTCATGGATATCAGTATAGACTACAGTCACCGCCATCATCATCATCATCATCATCGTCATCATCATCATCATCATCATCATCATCCTCATCCTCATCCTCATCCTCATCATCATCATCATCATCATCATCATCATCATCATCATCATCATCATCATCACAACATCAACGTCGCCACTGTCATCATTATCTCCATCGTCGTCCTCATGCACATTTGCCTCTTCGCCTCCTTCTCGCCGCAGGGGGCATCTTACTTGTCCCCTTTGTGTGTGTAGAGAGAGAGGAGAGAGAGAGAGAGAGAGAGAGAGAGAGAGAGCTCGTGGTGGTGAGGAGCGCGCGGGTGCCCGCCGCAAGGGGCATGAACTTGATCGTTCTGGTCACTGGCCACGCAAGAGGAGAAAACACGGCCCCGCAGTTGCAAGTGGGAACGGAGGGGACGGGGGAGGGTCGTCGCCAAGGCCGGGCTAACGGCGATGCTGCTTGATGGTGATGCTGGGGACCAAATTGTAGGATATCACGAACCACAGTGTCCTACATTTCCAAATGTGAATAGAACGAGCGAGCACGACAGCGCAAATTGTAGGAGATCGCGAGGCATTCGTTCCCACACTGCCGAAACCTGCATCGCCGTTGCCTACAGCGCCGTTCGCCCGTCCAAGTCGTCGACATTCTACGAAGCTCGGAAAAAACTTTTCATAAGCTCGCCGCAAATGACCTCCGTGTGCACATTACACCACGCGCCCACCGCAGGCACCGAGCTCTCCCTCGAAGCAGCGTGCGTGGGTCAGTGGTGGGTCGCGGGTGTGACGCGGGCGGGCCGTGGGTGGGTCGCGGGCGGGTCGCGGTTGGGTCGCGGACGGGCCGAGGGCGAGAAGGACAATAGGAAGGACAACGACAAGATCGAGGAGGACACGAACGGCAATTCGCCCCGCGGAGCTCCACTGCAGCCACCCCTCCGGGGGCCGGCAAAGGACGCTCGGTCCCCTGGCGCAGATACGCACGCAAGAACGAGCTCTTGACGTCGGCGCTGGCAGATGCGAGAGCAGGGAACACGCGCGGTTCGAGCCCGTCCAGGACCCTACATCTGGCGGAAGTCGGCGCAGCCCCCGAATCGCCAACCGCTGCACTTCAATCCAGATCAGTTCCAACGACGTTTCGGCAAGCGCTCATGCGCAGGGCACGTGACCCGCATATGATGGAAGAGACCCACAGTGCCCAATTGCCAGGCCAGGATCGGGCGATGGGAGAAGTGAAGGAGGGAGGGTAAGAAGGGAGAGGAGAAGGAGGAAGAGGAGGAGGAGGAGGAGGAGGAGAAGAATGTTCGACGCTACGGTTGACCAACCAGAACCTATGCAACGCAAAACGAGGAGGAGGAGCAGCAGCAGGAGGTAGAGCCATGATTGTGCCCCCAAAGCTTCTTCGGAACAGCGCTCAAGTCGGCCTCAGTGCCATACTCTGTTCAGAACACCCTGACACTGCGATCCCAGCCGATCTAAGCTTGCCAACGTCAGGCACGAGGAGAAGAGGGGAGGGGGAGGGGAAAGGGGGGGGGGACGTTTGCTCCAGGCGCAGCCGAGAGCGTGCGAGGGGCGACGCTGGCGGACTCGGGCGGAAGCAAAAGAGAAGGCCTCGGGCACAGCCACGCAGACGCGAGGAGTGCCGGCACCGAGCAGGATCAGGAGGGCCAGTCCCCCTCGCCATGGCCGTACTCTCAGACTCTACCCACACGCACACCTCCAAATTCGGCGCCGGTGGCAACAACGGAGAGGGGGTGGGGCAGTGCAGTACAGTAAACCAGTAAAGTAAGGATGCGCGATAAGGATGCAGGGGCCTTGGACGCCCACTTCGAAGCTTTTCGAGCGGGGCGCGGCCAGCGAAAGCGGCGAAGGATGGACCGAGGAGACAAGGGTGCAAGGGTACCCTCGGGAAGATTGCCCATCCTTACTGTGCTGGTTGACGGTAGAGTAGGATCACTCGGGCGACGCCAACATGCAACCCCTGCGAGGGGGCAATCTGGAAGGAAAGTATTCCTGGGGCTCGCGGAGGAACCCGGGGGGGGGTGCCGGCTTCCGCGGAAGAGAGACATCCTCGGCGAGGGCTTCGGGCACGGGGGCTGCCCCTGCCAGGCATGAGTCGCGGGGGCGGCAGAGCAGGACGAGGAGGCCTCCAGCTCCGCCTCCGCGGCCTGCGACGCGCGCGCCTCCGCCTGCGACCGCGCCTGCGGGCTCCAGGCCGCCAGGGGGGGCAGGATGCTCTGCTCTTGCCGCGCGGCCCTCGCGCGCTGGGAGCGTCGAGGTCCCGGAGGATGAGAATTGAGCTTGGACTGGGGCGGAAAAGTCGATCATGGAGTTCACGCGCAGACGAAGGGTACATGAGATAAGGATGCAAGGGACTTGGAAGGCCACGTCGGCACGTTTCGAGCGCGGCGCGGCCAGCGAAAGTGGTCAAGGATAGACCAATTGGGAAGGATGCAAGGGTCATCTTGGAGAGTACAGTGGAGGCCAGTCCACAAGAAACCTTCCACTAGAAACCCAACCCTGAGACCCCAGGACGTCCATTCATCTTTGGCGTGGGAACGTCGCGCCTGCCACGGCAAAACCATCAAAACCCAAGAAACCCAGGGCACCCTGGAGGCGAGCAGGGTGTTGCTTGGCATGGGCCTCCACTGTAGCTCATCCTTACTGTCCGTGTTGACTGCGTGCCCGAAGCGTGCGGACTGTGTGCCCCGAGGCGCGTCGGCGCCGTATGCGCCCTCGGGCGAAGGGAAGGCGGATAACCTGGCAGGCCGGCCGGTGCTCGGGCGACCCGAGGAAAGGGCGAGGGAGACGATTTCGGATTTCCAGCGCTTTGAGGCCAGATCCCAAAAGAGGGAAGAGAGCGGGAGAGAGAGTCAAGGGGCCCCAGGACACACAAATAAATACACACAAATTCAAATATTTCCCAAATCTTCCCATATTTTCTGGGTCTTTGTCTTCCCCCCAACTTCCAATATTTTCCCATGCTTTCTGGGGGATCGAGGATTAATTGTGTCTGTGTGCTTCTTTTCCTCCTGAGTGTGGTGGGCCGCGAGGGGGTGGGGCAGGGGGATCGGGGACGCGGGACGTGAGCGATGGGACGGGACGGGGGAGTACAGTTGTCGGCCTGACCTAAGGAACAATAGATAAGGAACGAAGCCCCTTTTCTCCAAGGAAGTCTACGAAGTCCGAGGGAACGGCCGACCCGCGCGTCCAAAATCAGAAGGAACACCAGGGGGACTCGCCGCCAAAAAGGCAGCGGAACGCAAGCAAACCTGAGGAACGACCGAGCCCCTTTTGATAAGCAAATGTTCCTTATTCAAGCCGCTCACTGTATGGATTCCTTGCCGAGTGCCATCCTCGATACCCCACTGGGCACTCCTGACTTGTCCCACCTCTCCGCAGATCTCTCTCTCAGAGCACGCACTGCCTGCGCTGTGGCATCATGACCGCACGATCTTTCAATCCGCGGCCAAAGAGCTCCCGACCCTTCCCAAGAGCATGTCTTTCGCAACTGATCACTGATCCCGGGCCCGACCACTGACCCAAGAGGCCTAAACCGATAAACAAAAAAAACATATTGAACAGATGTCCTGGCCAACGACCCAACCAAATGCAATTGTGAATACCGCGTTGTGGGCAGCGCTTCCGGTGGAGCTCCGTATGGGGCCACGAAACGCGCGAGAGGTGCCCTGTAATGGGCTGGGTAGACACATGCGGCCGCGGCCTCTGGCCTCTGGGGCCTCCGGTGGAGCTCCCAAGGGGCCACGAACAGCTGTAGTGAGTGGAGGGGGGCGGGGGGGCATGCGGCCGCGGCCACTGGGGCTTTCGGTGAAGCCCCCTGGGCGGCCACGACATGCTGGACTGGGGGGAACGCATGCGGCCGCGGCCACTGTGGCCTTCGGCGAAGCTCCCTATGAGGGCAGCATACACTGGAGTTGGCGGGGGGAGGCATGCGACCGCGGCCTCTTGGGGCCTCAGGAGGAGCTTTTTCAAGGCCACGACACCCTGCACTGTGGAGACGCATGCGGCCGCGGCCTCTGTGGCCTTCGGCGGAGCACCCCTATGCAGCCACGAAACGCTGTCCTAGGTGGGGGGGAAGCATGCGGCCGCGGCCTTTGGGGCCTTGGAGCTTCCTATGAGAACACGACACGCTGGACTGGGCGTGGGAGACGCATGCGGCCGCGGCCACTGGAGCCTTCGGTGGAGCTCCCAAGGGGGCCACGAAATGCTGTACTGGGCGGGGGGAACGCATGCGGCCGCAGCCTCTGGAGTTTCTGGTGGAGCCCCCATATGGGGCCCGAAACGTTGGAATGGGTGGCGCGGATGCATGCGAACGTCGCCTCTGGAGCCTTCGGTGGGGCTCCCTATGCGGCCACGAAAAGCTGTGCTGAATGGCGCGGACGCGCGCGAACGTCGCATCTGGGGCCTGCGGTGGGGTTCCCGATGGGGCCACGAAACGCTGTACTGGGTGGCGCGGACGCATTAATGTCGCTTTGGGGGCCTTCGGGAGTGCTCCCTATGGTGCCACAACACGCTGTACTGGGAGGTGCGGACGCATGCAAACGTCGCTCATGGGGCCTTCGGTGAAGCTCCCTATGGGGCCACGACAAGCTGTACTGGGTGGCACGAACACATGCCAACCCTCCCAGTGGGGCCTTTGGTTGAGCTCCCTCTGGGGCCACGAAACGTGTGAGGGGTGTGCCAACATAAGTGGGGCGGACGCATGCGAACCTTCCCAGTGGGGCCTTCGGTGGTGCTCCCTATCAGGCCGCGAAACGTGCGAGAGGTGTGCCGACGTAAAGGGGCGGACGCATGCGAACCCTCCCACTGGCGCGTACGGTGGAGTTCCCCCTGGGGCCACGAAACGTGTGAGGGGTGTACCGAAATTGATGGCCCGAACGCATGCGAACGGTGCCACTGAGGCCTTGGGTGGGGCTCTCTGTAGGCCCACGAAACGTGTCAGGGGTGTGCCGACATAAGTGAGGCGGACGCATGCGAACCCTCCCACTGGCGCGTCCGGTGGAGCCCCCCATGGGGCCACGAACCCTGTGAGGGGTGTGTCGAAATGGGCGGGGCGGGTGCATGCGAACACTCGCACTGGGGCCTTCGGTGGAGCTCCCGATGACCACGAAGCGTGTGAGGGTGTGCCGAAATGGGCGGGGCAGAAGCATGCGAACCCTCCCACTGGGGCCTTCGGTGGAACTTGAGCCCACGAAACGTGTGAGGGCGGACGCATGCGAACCCTCACACTGGGGCCATGGGTGGAGCCCCCTTTGGGGCCACGAAATGTGTGAGGGGTGTGCCGGAATGTGCAGGACGGACACGTGTGAACCTTTCCACTGGTGCTTTCGATGGAGCTCCCTGTGGGGCCACGAGAAGTGTAAGGGGTGTGCTGGAATGGTCGTGCGGAGGGCAGGGGCAAGGGTGGCAGGAGGGAGGAGCGGTAGGAGGAGGAGTGGAGGAGGAACGTAAGGCGTTGCCATTTCAAAACGGGGACCCAACGCCACAGGACGGTCGGGAACAGTTCAGCACAAAAAGATGTTACAATAGACGCATACGATAAGAGATATTTCAATTGGCCTCATAGCGGAGCGGTTCGTGATTAGGTATCTCGCACCCGTGTGAAGAGCCATTTTTCTTATAAGATGCGCAACTAACACTTACCAATCGCCGCCACGCCTCAAACTCCCACTACGAATAGAAGCGCCTCGCGATATGAAATTTAGCTATACGGGATATGGGGTACATCCATCGTCGGCATTAAGCGTCGTGAAGTGCCACATGGCTATACAGGCCCAGCAGGGAAAAGAAATCCCACCAGCCCTTGAGGAAGTGAGTGGTTTAGAAATGTTCCTTCTCCCCCCCTTCCACTACGGGAAGGGGCCGATCACTGCTCAATATTGATAAACGCCCCCTCCCCCAAGCGACCAGCAGCCAACCAACATGGATGCCGCGGACGCATGCGAGCCTTTAGTGGAGCTCCCGACGGGTCCGCGAAACGTGTGACGGGTGCGCCGAAATCGGTGGGGCGGACGCATGCGAAGGGTGCAACTGGGGCCTTGGGTGGAGCCCCCCTGTAGGACCGCGAAACGTGTGAGGGGGGCATATGGAGCTCCACCCAGCCCGAGCACCCCGTGATCACCTTGCATTAGTTTCGGACTGGGACGGCGGAGGTGCTGGCGTATTGCCTGCTGTGCCCAAGCTCACCAGACACTACGATGGCCACCCCACCGCGACTGCGCTCTGGTTTTGGACAAAGGTGGTGGGGACCGACTCGTTTCCAGGTGTGTGCTGCCACGAACGCAGGCGCACCTGGCACACTCTGCGCGTGCCCCGAGCGTGGCGCCCATGGCACGGCTGGAGCATGCGGCACACATGGCGCACCTGGATCACGTGGCGCATCTGGCGCACCAGGCGTGTCCGGCATGCGTGGGCCACAGGGTTGCCTGGCACACCTGGCGCGCGGGGCGCACCTGGCACGCGTGGCGCACCTCGCCCCAGCGTTGCGCACATGGGGTCTATGGTGGTTGCCATTCGCTGTCAATACAAAGACGACTGCTGAACATGCTGCGGCTCGGGTCTTGCAGGCGGGGAAGGTGTCTTGACCCTCCTCCTTTCCCCCCCCTCCCCTCTGGGCCTGGAGGTGGCGGCGGGGTCGCGGCCAGCTAGAGCGTCCAAGATGGCCTCGGCGAGAAGGCAACATACAATAGTTTTACTCATCAGGTTGGCCCAACTTGGACACCCTGGAGGGGGCAACGCCAATTGAGTACGCCTCCTTCTCTGATTTACGTAACTCCTCCAAGATGGCCCTAAAATGGCAGTGATGGCCCCAAGAGGGCCCAAAGAGGCGCCCAGGAGGACCCAAGAAGCCCCCAAGAGGTCCCCAGAAGGCTCCCACGAGGGCCCCAGAAAAACAACCAAGAGGCCCTAAGTGGCACCCTAGACGCGCCAAGATGCCCGCGGGGCCGCCAGGCATCAGCGGCATCAGCATCAGCATCATCATCAGCGTCTCATCAGCAGCATCAGCATACGCATCATCCTCATCGTCATCATCATCAGCAGCAACATCATGAGCAGCATCATCATCATCATCATCATCATCATCATCATCATCATCATCATCATCATCATCAGCCTCATCCTCATCCTCATCCTCATCATCTTCATCAGCATCATCAGCATCATCGTCATCATTATCATC